CCAAAAGTTGCTCTCATCCAGGCACCAGTGGACTGCAGTTTCGACCTCGCATCGGTCTTATCAACACCCTAGGCGGAAGTCCTTCCTCACCTTAAACAAAATTTGGTGAATACATCTTATATTACTGGTAGTCTCGAAACAATACTTAATGCGAAAAAATAAAAATAGTAGCCAAAATAGTTGACTATGTGGCCAAAAACTTAAAAAGATAAAAAAAAGCTTACGATAGCTAAATTTCGTGTTAAAGTGCACTAAGAAGAGATTCTAACGTCGACCTCATCAGGAGAAAAGGCCTGACCTTTCTTGAAATTCACATCTGCCCTGTGACCCAAAGGCACTCGTGGCAACGTGGCCGAGTAATTAACGTGTCACGCTCACATTCTGCCCTGTCATGATTCGACTCCCGCTGGGGGTGTTGATAAGACCTAAGCGAGATCGAAACGACAGTCCATCTCAGCCTGGATGAGAACACCTTTTGGGAAAGCAAGGCTCTGTTAAGTTCAATGGAAATTTCAGCTCTACTCATATCATTGTGGGAAAATTCTACTACCAGTCCTTCATCACCTTCTGATGAAGATTATTCTGCTTGTCTGAATGATAAATCATTAGTCAGCTGATGGATTTATAGGCAAATCAAAGACTCTCACATCAAACTACCTCGGCACCAGTGATTACAATCATTATCTAAGGCCTTTAAACTAAGATAACTTATTTTTCGTATTAACGTATTGTTTCGAGACAACCAGTAAATCAGTAATATGAGATGTATTCACCCAATTTCGTTTAGGGTGATGAAGGACTGGTAGAAGAATTTTCCCACAATGATATGAGAAGAGCTGACGTTTTCATTGAATTTCACATATCCTTGCTTTCCCAACTTTTGGGAAATAAAATGGAAACCTCAGCTCTACTCATATCATTGTGAGAAAATTCTTCTACCAGTCCTTCATCACCTTAAACGAAATAGGGTGAATACATCTCATATTACTGATTCACTGGTAGTCTCGAAACTCTACTTACATACGAAAAATAGGTGGAAGAAGAAAACTGAAGGTCGTTGGGGAATCTTGCCACACTATGGCCCTTGTGAAGTTCATTTTAAGTTAATCTTACCTCTACGCCAGTCAATATTGAAATAACCTGCTTTGAGTACCAAATCTATTTCCATAAAACCAAATAAAAATAAGGGCATTACTGAAAAAATTCTCGAAATAAAAAGAGAACTAAGTAATCCCTGCATAAAGACAAAACAAAAATGGAACTGGCCACTTGCATCCATAGTAAATGCCCACCCAGCATTTCACACTCAGTTCCCTTACTCAGTGTACATCAACTAGTTTTTCTTGATAAATTCCCTAATTCTGTGTTGCCCAGCAAATAAGTCATTTTTTTCTGAGATTCTAAGTTTCCACTTTAGCCGACTTGTTGATTGTCGAAAGGATCTACAAATTCAGTTTCTGAACTGAGAAAGTGAAAATATTGCTTAAGATAAATAAAATTAGGGTAATAAATTGTTCTATGGAAAAACTTTTAAAACACTGAAGTATTCCTTATTTTTTACTATAACAGGAAAATAAAAATTATCCCTCTGTATAAAAAAAGAACGAGTGGGCTTATGCTAAGTAACCAAATATCGTGACGCAATCTTGCTTTTCAATAAGATTGGACGGTACATTTGGGCAATGCTTTCACATTCGTCTTGGGCAGGGAAAGCCAAATCCACACCCTGGATAGTAGCGTAAAATTAATAGATGTAGCAGATAAACCCCTAGTGGGAATAAAAAAAGAACTATAAATCATCCCTCGTAAATCTAGCCCAATAAAGGAGCCATGTAGGTCACATCATGTAGGAAAATTGTGTATAGTTTGTTACATTTGACTATTCCTAGAATAAGGATATCAATACTTATTCAAAATCGCATCACAAGCCAAATCCTTTAAAGAGAAAATCAGCACTATAACAAAAGTCTGTATCTTTCGTCCTCATTCCCAATACATTTCATAAGATCAGAATAAACTTCTGTCAATATTAGCTAGGCAAAGCACCAAACACAGAAGTTACGC